CCACCCCTCAACTACTCAAAGGATGTTTTCGGGAAATTTCTAAGATTCTGTTTGTTATATATACAGCTTTGGCTAACTTCCAGATCGCTCAATTACGTTTGTAACTTAACAGCAGGCATCTTACATGTTTTCATGATTTTCATTTTTCATACCTCGGCATTTTTGAGAGTCATTTGTTTGTTTTAGTTGAGGTTTTACGGCGATCGCAACTGCATAAGATCATATGAGTATTATGAGCGCCAGAAGATTAGAGGCGTTACAAGAGAGTAGCAAACATAAAAAGGAAGGAGAGGAGCTAAGGACGATAGACTTTTTATAGGAAAGAAGAAGTAACCAACACCAGAGCACCCGCCAACCACCCACTGAGAGTCATTGTCGAAAAAAAAAAACAGGTCTATACAAACAAAAGTTTATTGATCCACAAAGATATAATAATATATCAGCTCGGTTTAAACTCCGAATAGGTAAGTACCAAACCTGAGACTACCAGATGACAGTTGTCCGCCCTCTTTGAGATAAGAAAAAGAATGCTACGCGATGCACTGCTGGTAAAATACTTTTTTAAGCAATCTTTTAAACCCAGCACGAAAAAGACGTCATCGCGAGTCATGTTGTTAATTTTGATGCGTCGGGAGTATTTTTTTTTTTTTTTTTTGTGCAAAGAGGACTGGCTACTATCAATTCTAAACAAACGTTTTTATTAAAAACGACACGAAAAGAAGACTGGGGGACTCCGAATTATGGTATTTAAGGAGAATACTCAGTTTCAAGAACAAAGAGAGAAGTGCTTTAAATGTCAGGTTGTGAATTATCTCAAATCAGAACCTTAAGAAAAAGACAAATGAAATTCTTTGGCCACATAAATAGATCAAATTATGGACTAGACAAACTGCTGCTGAGTGGAACGATAGAGGGAAGAAGAGCACAGGAAGACAAAGAACAACATACACAGATGGCCTGAACAATTTCGAAAACGAATTACTCTAAGACTTTTTTGTTTTAGTCTTAGTAGAGGTTTTACGGCGGTCGCAACTGCTTAAGGTCATACGAGCCCCAGAGATCAGAGGTGTTACAAGAGAGTAACAAACATAAAAAAGAGGGGAGGAGAGATAAAGACGATAGATGTTTGATTAGGAAGAAGAAGCAAACCACACCAGAGCACCCGCCAACCACCC